TACACAGACTAATGAAATACTATCTGTAAAATTATCTATGTAAACAAACCTCATCACTTGAGAAGGTAAGTGATGCGGACGTGTTGGAAGACATTTTGTCCCGTTTTTTACTGAAATTTTAAAAATTTTGGGACAATATCGTCTGATAAAGAGTACATTTATAGACATGTTTAAGCCAGAATGATTTGACATTTAAATATGATTTCCGTACAACTTTACGATATAAAAAAAAAACAAGATTTTATAAAAATATAAAAAAATATTTTATATCCATCCATTTTCCATCATGCTTATCCCTTGAAGGCTCCAAAAGGGTGCTGGTACCTATCAATGGCTGTCTGAAAGGTGAGATCCTCTCCAGAGAGGTCGCTAGTCCATCACAGGGAAGCACTAATTAGAAACGTCATGTTCTGGGACTTTGGAAGGAAGCTGGAGTACCTGGAGAGAGTTCACGCATGCACAGGGAGAACATGCAAACTCCACGCAGAAAGACTCCCGGCCAGGAATCTAACCCGGAACCTTCTTGCTGCAAGGCAGCAGCGCTACCCACTGCCCCACTGTTCAGCCCAAATAATTGTATAGAAATTCTTTTATTATAAATTCTATAATGTTTTGTGTTGTTGGTATTCATGCAAATGTACTGCTGTGATACCGTAGCATACATGTAATTGGTTTTTGGTTTACGTTTATTTTGAAGTTACAGCCCAACACCCCGGAGAAAACTCCACCAGCCGCCACTGGAACTGGGAGCTCCTTTAAGATGGAAACATGGGATTGACTCGTCACACCTGTGTCTCCTCACGCTTCATCTCCTCCATGTGCTTTCAGGGATTGGAGGCCTCAGCGGGGGAGATGTTTCTGCTAAAGGATTTCAGTTCCTTTGAATAAAAGCTTCCTGTTGGACCCAACCATATCAGAGCATTTCCTGTCTCCTCTCCATGAGCTTCCTCCTGTTCTGGTTATTTCATCACATCTCCTTTCCTAGTCTCCTCTCTTCCCCTCCTCTGAGACCCAGCGGCAGCAGCAGCGAATCAAAGCGAAGGACAGAAACACAAAGAGCCGAGCCGCCGGCCCTGTCCTACTTCTACCAGCTCTGCCTGCTGTAGCATTTCAGCCGTTCCTAATTAATGAATGGGTGCTATTCCTGTGATCATTCATTCCTTTTCTAGTATGAAGCTCTCTGCAGGGGCGGAGCTAGATGGGGGCCATGGCCACCCTTAGCCAATCATTTGCCACCCCTACCATGTTTTCCCCCTGTAATACAGAAGGTGGAAGCAGTAATACTCATGAAATGTTTTCATATATTCATATTTACTTGAAAACAAAAACACTGGTTAATTATACACATCAATATACTGACATTAAAGATAATAAGTACAGAATTCCTGCTCTTTTCAGAACTAGATTTTGTCCTATGTGGTAAAGAGATTCAGTTAAATCAAAGATAATCTTAAAAACATGTTAAATAATACATTTATTGAACTTACGTTATGTAGATATTAGTACTTGTAAATATACATTTTTTGTGAAATCATTATTGATAAAGTAGGTAAGTAATGACAATGGAAAAGATGTTTGCCCCAGAACTCAAACCTCAAGCATGGATGTTTAAATATATGCGTCTAATTGTTAGCAAAGGCTGTGGGAAAGTTTAGTTTGTCTTTATTTAGAAAATATGGATATTTTGCTTGTTAATTTTTTACTTTGGAACAGTAAAGATTGACCCTGAGCTTCTGGCGCCTATCCACTTTCGCCCCCCCCTCAGTGTACTTTGGTTATTGCCTGGCCACCCTTATAAAATTTTCTGGATACGCCTCTGGCTCTCTGAAGCGTCTGCATGATGGGTCTCACCTCAGGTCCTCTGAGACTTCTGACCGGTTCTGGCGGGCCCAGGTGACTCTTCCTCAGGTGTGTGATTCCCTTCCTCTAAAGTCCAAATGGACATTTTAAATGTCTGATTCTGAACAGGTAAGTAAAGATCAATCCTGAAATCCATCAAAATGAGATCTGAGGACCAGAATCAAAATTAAAAAACAGTAAAACCTTCTTCTGGTCAACAGAACCCATCCAGACTGGGCCATTAGACTCTACTGGCCTCCTCAGCCAACTCAGGGTTGGAGATCTGAAGGGTAACATCTGAAGGGATTGAAGATGAAGACCTACAGAAGGAAGCTTTCTGGTTCTGAAGAAGGGAACATCTTTGCTCTGTAGGAGGAGGTCTTTGTTTTTTAAGAAGCAAAGTTTTGAGGATGAAGACATAAAGGATTTAATGGAGGAAAGTCCTGAAGAAGGAAAGGTTCTGAAGGAAGCCTGAATTTAACTTTATTCTGTTTTTTAATGCAGGATCTAAAGAACGACTCGCCCCTAAATAGACTTTTCTTTTACCAGTAAACTGTATCAATATGCTGTCTACATGTTCAAGGCATTCTACCTTTTACTGCACATTGGTTGAACTCTTGCTGTTACATCTAAAGCTATCTGTTTGAGCTGCTGAGACCACGACCAGATGGATGGATGGATGATGGATGGATGGATGGATGGATGGATGATGGATGGATGGATGGATGGATGGATGGATGGATGATGGATGGATGGATGGATGGATGGATGATGGATGGATGGATGGATGGATGGATGGATGGATGATGGATGGATGGATGGATGGATGGATGATGGATGATGGATGGATGGATGGATGGTTGGATGATGGATGGATGGATGGATGGATGGATGGATGGATGATGGATGGATGGATGGATGATGGATGGATGGATGATGGATG